AATAATTTTATATGACATGCTGAACTGACAATATTTTGTATTACTGGGTTAAATAAAATACATTAAAATTAATTTTACCTGTTTCCTTTTCATAAGGCCACTAGAAAATTTATGATTACATATGTAGCTTGCACTGTATCTCTATTGAGACACTGTCCTGATTCACTGAGGGCACCAGCATGCCATCTTTTTAAACCACATGTGACCAAAGCATTGAAAGCACCAGGCCTGGCACTGGGCAGGCACCCAGATATTTGCTGAAAGAATTATGGTCAACAATTGGTATCCTTTATGTACACTCATTTAAAAACAAAACACTGAAAATTTAGCTCTTACTTGAAGTTGAACCACACTTTCAAAGTACAATTTGGGCTTCCCTGGTGGCGCAATGGTTAGGAATCCACCTGCCAATACAGGGCACATGGGTTTGAGCCCTGGTCCGGGATGATCCCACATGCCGTGGAGCAACGAAGCCCATGCGCCACAACTACTGAGCCTGCGCTTTAGAGCCCGTGAGCCACAACTACTGAAGCCCGCGCGCCTAGAGCCCGTGCTCCACAACAAGAGAAGCCGCCGCAATGAGAAGCCTGCGCACCACAACAAAGAGTAGCCCCTGCGCGCAGCAACGAAGGCCCAACACAGCCAAAAATAAATGATAATAAATAAAATAAATTTTAAAAAATAAATGAAATACTATGTGTATTAAAACAACTTTTTTTTTTTAATTCAACAAATGTATACTGAGACCTGCTCTGCAGAGCACACCAAAGCCAGGTGTCCTGACTTCTAGCTGGTACCGTGGCAGGGTCACTGCACCCAGTCACCCTTTCATTAAGGAAACCCATGACATGGAGTCAGAGAAAGGCCTTCTTTGTTTTTCATATTTTGCATTCTTACAATAAATCATTTGAATTTATACAAATAATACACAAATACATTCTTCTAAACTACTGTAACAATACAAAGGGACAATCTCCTCCTACCTACCCAGCTCCTTCCAATCACAGTAATCAGTTTCAGAACTGTGAAGAAAAACTAAGTTGAAACTTTACACATACATGAATTCTAAGAAATACTTTGTCTGCTTCTCTAACATTCATCCTAATTATGTCATTAATTTTTGTAATTTTTCGGTGCTAAATTTTCTGCTAGAAGGGAAAGTCAGAAACTGGGGAAGACTGGAAATTTAAGGTGGCCTAAAAAGATTTTGAGTCATCAACCCTTAAAACTTAGTCATCACAACTCAAAAAATCAGCCATGAGAGAAGGAAAGCTAGTGGACAGTATAAGGAGGGAAAAAAAAGGAGACGGTTAACATGGAAAGTCTAATTAATAAGATTTAGGTAGTGATCATCTTGTAATGTATTTAAATATCCAATCACTATGCTGTACACCTGAAATTAACATAATATTGTAGTACCAACAATATGTCAAGTGAAAAAACAAAACAAAACAAAACACCTGGGAGGTGGGGCTTTGCAAAAAGTATCACACCACCTTATGTTATGCCCTGCAACATTTAAACTACCAGAGAGGGTGTGGTATCTTCAAGAGGGCAAGGCTTACAGTCAGTGTGGGGTCTTCTAAAGAAACAAAAAATGCACTCTCAGATGGCCTCACAAACACACAGAGTACATTTCAAAACAAACATTATTACATTTTAAGTCTAGAACTATAATCTGAATGGATTTCAATGTGATTTAGGTTGGAAGCCCTTTAAAAATTTCAATTTGGGTCCACATTCAACCTCCAGAGACAGATCACAACCAAAGAAGACACATGAGCGAGACTGCAGGAAAGGTTACGCCCAAACAGAGAAACTTACAACTACCTGCTTACAAGGCAGAGGACACTGTGGGGATACTACAAGACAAAAAAAATCGAGGTCTTCCACAGATGGCAAGTGAGGTAGGGGCAATTGTTTTAACTGGTAGACCTTATTCGGATCCTGATTTGCCAAAATTAGAAAACTGTATATATAAAAATTATCACATTTGAGACAATTGGAAATTTCAACTCCGACTAGGTACTGGATAGTATCAAGCAACTGCTTTGTGGGAGTTTTATTTAGATGTTATAGTTTTGTGGTTATGTTATGGTTAAAACAAAAAAAAGTTTATTTTTGAAAGATCTATACTGACATATTTACAGAAGAAACAAGATAATTATTTTGAGATTTTCTTCAAAGTAATATGTAAGGGGCTAGCCATAAAGGAAAAATTAATCAACTGAATTCCATTAACTCCTCTTCCTCCAGAGACACAATGACAACCCACAGAGTAGGCAAAGATATTCACCATGTTTGTATCTCCTGAAAGATTCATATCCAGAATAAAAGAAACCCTACCAATTGTTGTGTTTGAAAATATGTCCACGGGCTTCCCTGGTGACGCAGTGGTTGAGAGTCCGCCTGCCAATGCAGGGGACACGGGTTCGTGCCCCGGTCCGGGAAGATCCCACATGCCGCGGAGCGGCTGGGCCCATGAGCCATGGCCGCTGTTAAATGCATTGAGACTTTTGAGGTTGTGTCATAAAAATGATAGCTTCCACTTGGTGCTATTTCTCTCAAATCACTCTCTCAGGGGAAAGTCAGTCACCATGTCCTGGGGACAGGACACTTCAGCAATCCTGTCAAAGGCCTACATGAAAAGGAACTGTGGCCTCCCACCGACAGCCAGGACTAACTTGCCAGGCATGTGAATGAGCCACCTTGGGAAGGATCCTCCAACTCCAGTCAAGCCTTCAGAGGCTGATAACATCCAAGCCAAATGGCCCAGCCAAGTCGCTCCCAAGTTCCTAACCCACAAAAACTATGAGATATTAAATGTTTACTGGTGTTATAAACCACTAAGTTTGGGGAAAATTGCTATGAAGCAACAGAGAGTTAATATGATAAAACAGATAATGCAACAGACAAAAGAAAAGGAGACAAATATTACTCTTCGTTAAAAAAGAATAACTAGGGGGTTGGGGAAGGGAAGGATTGAGAGTTTGGGATTAGCAGATGCAAAATATTGTATATAAGATGGATAAACAACAAGGTCCTACCGTATAGCACAGGGAACTATATTCAATAACCTGTGATAAGCCATAATGGAAAAGAATATTAAAAAGAATGTATATATTGGGATTTCTCTGGCGGTCCAGTGGTTAAGACTCCATGCTCCCACTGCAGGGGGCACAGGTTCAATCCCCGGTAGGGGAACTAAGTAAGATCCCACATGCCGCGTGGCATGGCCAAAAATAAATAAATGAATGATGAATGAAAAGAAAAGGAAAAGGAAAAGCATGTGTGTGTGTATGGGTATATATGTATGTATAACTGAGCCACTTTGTTGCGCAGCAGAAATTAACACAGCATTGTAAATCAACTATAGTTCAATAAAATTTTAAAAAGATAAAAATGAAAAAGGATAACTAAACAACCAAAAAAAGCATGAAAAGGTGCTTGACTTCACTAGTGCAAATTAAAACTACTGTAAGGTATCACTACACAGCTAGGGGTGTAGCTAAAATGAAAAGCATGAAAGAAAGATATGAGCTATTAATGATAGTATGGAGTAAGCGGAACGTCACACACTGCTGGGGGAAGTGTAATCTGGTACAGCCACTTTAGTAGATGCAGCCACAGTTTTCCAAAATGGAATATATGCACACCTCTACGACCTAGCAATTTCACTTCTAGGTATATCCCCAACAATCTCACACACAATGTCAAGAGAAAAACTCAGACACAAGTGAACATACCATAAGATTCTATTTATTTAAGGAACAAAACTTAATGCAGTTAAGTATCAGGATACTGGCTGCCCTCGGCAGAGAGGAGGGTATGACTGAAAGGGGACAAAGGAGATACCCGGGACCCAATTACCCAGGTGGGTTTCAGACTGTGAAAATTTCATTTATGATGTGTACTCTTCTATATTTCTATTACAATTCAATAAGAGTTTTAAAATAGTAACAATCCAGGAGAGAAGTGGGGGTTGAAGGAGTAAGTAGGGCAGGACTGGCCTTGGGTTTATGGTTGTTGGAGCTGAGTACCTGAGGGTTCATTACACTATTCTATATTTGTGTTAAAATTTTCCCCTAATAAAAAAGATTTTAAATATACATTAATATAAAACTGGCTGGAACTGGTGATAAAAGCATAAACTGGGGTAATTTTTCTGGCCATAGACATCAAAGGGTGTTAAAAATCTATACATTCCTTGACCCAATTACTCTGCTTTAATGAGTTCATACTAAGATATTTATCCTGAGTAAAAAAATAACAATGTCCAAAGAGTTTATAACAGACAAAAAAAGAGAAATGTCTAAATATAGAGGTCACAGGACACTGTGGGGACCACCACAGGGTAAACAATCCAGGTCATCCACAAACACATGGAACCTGAATAACAATGATTTTATCTGCACCAAGGTTCTTTTATCTATCCATTGAAATATAGTCATTAACAAAGATGTGATCCACATCATTATGTCACCAAAAACATGCAAATTAAAACAACTGGACACACCAATTAGAATGGCCGAAGTCCAAAACGCTGACACCAAATGCTGGTGAGGATCTGTAGAGCGAAGGGAACTCTCAATCACTGCTGATGGAAGTGCAAAATGGTACAGGCATTTGGAAGACAGTTTAGCAGTTTCTTACAAAACTAAACATATTCTTACCATACAATCCAGCAATCGTGCTCCTTGGTATCTACCCAAGGAAGTTGAAAACTTATGATCACACAAAAACCTGCACACAGATGTTTATGGCAGCTTTATCCATACTTGCCAATACCTGGAAGCAACCAACATGTCCTTCAGTAGGTGAGTGAATAGACTTTTCCCCTCCCCTCATGTTTCTGGGAGGGGGAAAAGAACATTTTCTTTTCTTTTCTTTTCTAGTTTGAAATATATCAGGACATTCCGTTCTTAACAAAGCTCAACTTCAAAAAAAAACCTATTTTACCAGAGCCTAACCCACTGAGGTTTTACCAGAACCTAACCTACCTGGAGGAAGGGAAATATCCAACTCCAGCCCCCTCTAACCTTCCGCATGAGGAAAGGGAAGTACACAATTCCAGGCCACTCTAGCCATCCTGTACCACCTAAGAAAAGGAAAAAAGCAGAGAAGCACTGGTGAAGTTCACAGTTCAGGGGCACAGGCTCACCAAAAGACTGAGACTGAATCACAGCACTACAGAACATTTCCCCTCCCCAGACAATTTACCACTACATTTCCAAAGGTCTATTCTTCACAGTTCCTTTTACCAGTGCATCATGTCTGCCTTTCAAAAAAGATGACGAAGCATACTAAAAAGACAAAAAACAGTTTGAAGAGATTGAACAAGCATCAGAACCAGTCATGTATGCCAGAGATGCTGGAATTATCAAACCAGGAAAGCTAACAGGTTTAATGGAAAAGGCAGACAACATGCAATAACGGATAAAATAATGCAAATAGATAAAAATTCTAAGAAACAATCAAAAAGAAATGCTACAGACCAAAAATACTGTAACAGAAATGAAGAATGCCTCTGATAGGCCCATTAGTAGACTGGACATAGCTGAGGAAAGAAACTCTGCGCCTGAAGATATGACACTAGAAACTTCCAAAATGGAAAAGCAAAGAGGAAAAAAACGGGGGGGTGGGGGGGGGGCGGTGTGCAAAATATCCAAGAGCTGTGGAACAACTACAAAAGGTATACCATACATGCAATGGGAATACCGGAAGGAAATGAGAAAAGGAAGAGAAACAATGTTTGAAGCAATAATGACTGGGAATTTCCCCCAAATTAATGTCGGACACCAAACCACAGATCCAGGAATCTCAGGGAACACCAAGCAGGATAAATGCAAAACAACAAAAACAAAAACCTACACCTGGGCATATCATATATTGTCTACAAGAAACTCACTTGAAATTCAGAGACACATACAGGTTAATAGTAAAGGGATAGAGCTAGACCATACTAACACTAATTAAAACAAACTGAGAGTGGCTATATTAATTTTAGACAGAGAAGACTTCAGAGCAAAGAAAGTTGTCAATATTACAAAATGAAAAGGGGGTCAATACTCCAAGAAGACATAACAATCATTAATGTTATGCAGTTAACAACAGCATCAAAATACAAGTCAAAAAAGGATAAAATGCAAGGAGAAATAGATGAATTTACTATTATAACTGGGGACTTTAACACTCCTCTATCAGAAATAGACAAATCCAGCAAGCAGAAAATCAATAAAGACATAACTGAACTCAACAGCACCATCAATCAACCATATAATTGACATGTATGGACTAATTCATCCAGCAGTAGCAAATCACACATTCTTCTCAAACACACATGGAATACGCACCAAGATGGACATTCTATGAAATGCACCTTAACAAATTAAGAACAGAAATCATACAATGTCTGCCCTTAGACCACAATGCAATTAAACTAGAAATCAGTAACAGAAAGATAGCTGGAAAAACCCAAAGTACTTGAAGATTACACATTACATTTCTAAATAACACATGGATCAAACACAAAAAAATCTCAAGAGAAACTTTAAAAATGTCTGAACAAAATGAAAATACAACTTACTAAACTTTGGGGGATGCAGCAAAAACAGTGCTTAGATTAAAATTTATAGAATTGAAAGCATATATTAGAAGACATGTAAAATCAATAATCTAAGCTTTCACCTTAGAAAACTAGATAAAGAAGAGGAAATTAATTCCAAACTATGCAGAAAATTGAAATAATAAAAATTAGAGCATAAAAGAATTTTAAAACAAGAAATCAGTAGAGGAAGTCAACAAAAGCAAAAGCTGATTCTTCAAAAAAAAAAAAACAACAATAAAACTCCTAAGACTTTTTCCAGACTAAGGAAGAAAGAAGACCTAAACTGCTAATATCAGAAATGAAAGAGGGGAAGCACTACAGATCCCATATACAATAAAAGGATAATAAAAGAATATTATGAACAACTCTATAGCCACAGATTTGATAACCTAGATGAAATGGACCAACTCCTTGACAGATACAATCTGTCACAACTCACATAAGAATAGACAGTTTGAATAGGTCTACATCTATTAAAGAAATTGAATCAATTATTAATAACCTAAAACAGAAAGCATCACGTCCAAATGGGTTTACTGATGAATTCTACCAAACATTTAAAGAAAAAATTATACCAATTCTCTATCATCTCTTCCAAAAGACAGAAACAGAAGGAATACTTCCTAACTCATTCTATGAGACCAATCATGCTCCTTGGTATTTACTCAAACGAACTGAAAACTTATGTTCACACAAAAACCTGCACACAGATGTTTATGGCAGGTTTTTCATAACTGCCAAAACTCGAAGGCAACCAAGGTGTCCTTCAGTAGGTGTGTGCATAGACTGGTACAACCAAACAACAGAATATTACTCAGCACTAAAAAGAAATGATCTCTCAAGCCGTGAAAAGACATAGAGGAACCTTAAGCGTATATTACTAAGCGAAAGAAGCCAGTCTAAAAAGGCTACAATGCTGCATGTTTCCTACTATAATTCGTTCTAGAAAAAGCAAAACTATAGAGACATTAAAAAGATTAGTGAGGTCATCGGACAGCGCTGCTCGCTGTGGGCAGAGCCTGTGTGCCACTGACGTCACCACCGCCAACTGCTTTCTGGGAGGCAGGAGTGGAAGGCCTAAGAGTTGATAATAATGGCAGATGAAGAGATTAATGAAGACTATCCAGGAGAAATTCATGAATATTTATCAACATTTGAGAATTCCACTGGGGCTGTGGATGAGATGCTGAAGAGTATGATGTGTGTTTCTAGAAATGAGTTGTTGTAGAAGTTGGACCCACTTAAACAAGCAAAAGTGGATTCAGTTTCTGCTTACACATTAAATTCAATGTTTTGGATTTATGCGGCAACTCAGGGAGTCAATCCTAAGGAACATCCAGTAAAGCAGGAACTGGAAAGAATCAGAGTATACATGAACAGAGTCAAGGAAATAACAGACAAGAAAAAGGCTGGCGACCTGGACAGAGGCGCGGCTTCAAGAGGGCATTGGAATAAATGCCCTCTGGGAACCAAAACCTAAAAATGCACCCAAAGTTGTCAATAAAGGAAAAAGTAAAATTAACCTTTTGGTTTGATGTACACATATTCAAAAAGTATATAATTGTTTTGTGTGTGGTTAAGAATTTTATTCTTTCTTTCTTTTTTCTTTCAATTTACTTTTTTTTTTTTAAATTGGAGTGTAGTTGCTTTACAACGTTGTGTTGGTTTCTTCCGTGCAGCAGGGTGAATCAGCTATACAGACACATGTATCCCCTCTTTTTTTGGATTTCCTTCCCATTTGGGTCACCACAGAGCATTGAGTGGAGTCCCCTGTGCTATACAATCTGTTTTCATTAGTTATCTATTTTATACATAATAGTGCATATTTTTATTGTTTTCCACAAGATAGACGATGATTATGTATCATTGTAAGGTTTAAATGTATTCCGTATTGAATTCATATATAAAATCTGTACTTTAAATTTGTAATGCTAAATACCTTTCCCCCCAGAAAGATTAAGTTATATTTACTGATTTTCTTATAGAACACTGAGGTTTTTAACACTGTGGTATATTTATAGTTTACTGTCTCTTGACAAGACTCTTATTTCCTTATACAGGTCACTCTTTCAAGTGCCATTTTATAAGCTACTATGAAATTTAAGTTAAATGTTCTTTGTAAACATTTGTCTATTTTCAGTGAATAATGATTTTATGAAGTATGCTGAAGTTATAAATACACCTGTTTTCATTATATAATATTAAGAAAGAAAAAAAAGATTAGTGGTTGTTAGGGGTTAAGTCTGAGGCAGGGATGAACAGGCAAAGCCCAGAGGATTTTTAGGGTAGTGAAACTGTTCTACAGACTACTACAATGGTGGATACGTGCTATCATACATTTGTCTAAACCCACAGAACATACAACATTAAGAGTGAACCTAATGTAACGTGCGGACTTTGGGTGATAATGATGTGTCAAGACAGGTTCATGGAGGTTGGAGGGGGGCGCGTGGGGAGACAAGGAGTATATAGGCTTCTGGCTCTGTACTTCTGCCTCAATTCTGCTGTGAACCTAAAACTGCTTATGAAATAAAATTTATTAATTTTTAAAAATGGTTAAATGTAAATTTGTGTTATGCATATTCTACAGCAAGAAAGAAAAGATTTGCTAAATCACTGTTCATTTATAGTAGAGCTTAAAAACGTCATATATGTTATACATCATTTGAAAAGGAGATTAATAGAAAAGCTTTCTAAAAAAAGGTTTCCTTCCACTGCTTAACAGTTGTACTTTGTACGTAAAGATAAAAAGCAAAGAAGCCAGCTTCTAATTTAGTATTTTACCTATTTCTGTACCAAACACTAAACTTCTAGAAGCTTCTAAGAACAAAGTGCTTTACTGTAACAAACTAAAAGCAAGCCAGGGCTTCCCTGGTGGCACAGTGGTTAAGAGTCTGCCTGCCAATGCAGGGGATATGAGTTCGAGCCCTGGTCCGGGAAGATCCCACATGCAGCGGAGCAATGAGGCCCGTGTGCCACAACTACTGAGCCTGCGCTCTAGAGCCCACGTGCCCCAACTACTGAAGCCCGTGCGCCTAGAGCCTGTGCTTGGCAAAAGAGAAGCCACCGCAATGAGAAGCCTGCGCACAGCAACGAAGAGTAGCCCCTGCTCACCGCAACTAGAGAAAGCCCACGCACAGCAGTGAAGACCCAACGTAGCCAAAAATAAATAAATTTATATTGAAAAATAAAAAAATAAAAGCAACCCAAATTTTTTTGTGATTAAAAATAAAAATCTAAAGCCCACTGAAATGGGGAATGGCTATAAAGTATACCAGTAATTAAAAAGAAGGCAGATCTCTGTGTACTGCATGGGACTCAATGAAAAGTGATGAATGATAAGAAAAAAAAGGTGTATGCCTAACACTGTATAGTTTCTATAAGCACATATATAAGTAATACAAACACATAGAAAAAAATAAAAAAAAATAGAGACATAACTATTAACAGCAGAAGACAGAAAAGAACTGGGGGAAGGTGAGCAGAAGAGA